ACAACAGCTTCAATAATCTCAGTTTCAGAATCAGTGTTAACAATGAAGAACATTTAACTAAAGAGGCATCTTCAAACAAAGTTACTTTTTAAAGGAAAACTACAATGCATCAATGTATTTAACCAAGCTGATCACACCAGGTAATTTCAAACTTAAACTCACAGAATAGAGACTAATCAGGTCCATATCAATACAATGAACAATTAACATGAGAGTACACTCATTTATCACATATAATTTGCAGCTTTAGTCTTTTATCATTTAAACAAAGCATTACACGGCTGAGGTCAATACCTTGAACAAAACAATAACAAAAACCAACAACAAAACAAATGAAGAGCTGGCTGAAGCTTAAAGGTGGAGCAGCAACAGAAACCCCAAACAAACAGCAACCCAGAATCAAACCAGAAAGAAAAACCAGGAACCAGCAACCAGAATTCTCAAAATTAGAGTCTTCAAGAGAAGACCAGCCCAGAAACTCTAATTAGGCAACTAATGTTCTAGCCGGAAAAGTTTCAAGGAGTTTTTGTTTTCAAAGCCTTTTAAATGCAGAAATGCTGATGAAAAAAATGTGTGTGAGTGCAGGTTTTCTTTTCTGTTTATAGAGTGTATATCCAAAACAGCATCAAAGAATATTCTACCCTAATTCTTGGATAGTACAACATGTTGACAGAGGATAAAATATCCAGCTGTCCATTTTCGACATCTTTTAAAACCAATTTTGGACAGCTGGTACCTTCTAGAACCTTCCTTTTCTTAGATATTTTTCTGAAAATTATCCTAAGTTTCTTTTAGTTCAATTGTACCCTTACAAGTTTCTAATGATGTGTAAATCAAACAAGCAGGGACTGGGCCAGCAATTAACCGAAATAAAATCAAAGCAATAATCAAGCAATAATAAAAAATACAAATGAATCCTAAATTAAACTAACCCTTAACATGAATAACATTGTGAGGGAATCAGCAGGAATTGCATGCTAATTTATACTAACATGAGCAAGATGAACAAACATAAAACTGGAGCACTAAAAAACCTAAGTCATGCAACTGAACAAAGAAAAAAAAAAGGTAAAAATAACCAAAGAAAGAATAGGAAATACCAACAGACTCGTCTGGGACAAACACGAACTTGGAACAAGTTCGATGGGGGGTGAAAATGAACCTAAACTAACATCAATCGATTGCTCTTATCAAGAGCAATCCACTGACGTAAGTCATGGGTCCAAAGGACCAACCTTGCATGCCCAAATCAGAAACCAAAATAAAACTAGGGTTCCAGAAATCAGATCCAAAATTAATGAAGCCAGGGTAGGATTTTTTGGGAAATTGACTGTAGTTTAGGGTTCAGATGGGTGTGAGGAGTGTGGGGTGTGATTTTGGGGTAGTTTGGTCGATTTGGGATTTGGGTGTGGATTCCAGATCTAAGATTCGAACAGTTTGATAAGGATTTGAGGGAAATGGTTTGGGGATTTGAAAAGGGGAGGGAAAGGTGATTGCATGGTGTTAATTTGGAGTAGTTTGGAGAGGCTCCGATCTGTAAGGCGATTTTCGGGTGGCGGAGATGGGCTGAGCCGGCGTGGGAATCCTAGGGCAACTAGGGATTCTCTGGTTTGGGGTGAGAGACGAAGTGAGATGGTCTAAGGGGGGGGGGGATGTCGGTCTTCGGACAATATTATACACAATGGTCGCCTAGTTCTGAGCCGTTGGATCACAAGGATCCAACGGTTGTGATTGAGAGACGATGAGACGGGGTCGTTTTGTTTATTGGGGGACTTGGACCGGGTATAGGGATTGGGCTTGGGTTTGGACAGAGGGTATTTGGGTTAATTAGTTGGGGTCAATTTAAGGATTGGCCCAAATTTGAATAAACAAGACCAAATATTTTTCTATTTTCTTTCTTTGTCCCC